AAAAAGTACAGAGAAAAAGACAAGAAAGAAGAAAAATAATGGGAAGAAAACAAAAAAAAAAAACAAAAAAAAAACTAGGGACAAAGTTTTATTTTCAATTAGTTTTTTTTATTTAACTTTTAGCACTTTGCATTATTCACAGCCCTGACTTTCTCTTTCACTTCAATCAAGGTAATTTGAAATGTTATCAGAGTAGGACATGACAACTCAACTGTGACATTTTTGCATATTGAATATTTTTTAGCAAGTGAACTCTCCTGAAGTAGTAGGGCAAACTTTATGTTCAATAAATAAAGTCTCCTCCAGGATGCTAAAGGTTTTAACATTTAAACTCTTTGAAAACAAGATTTTGTCTAAGAAAAAAAGAGAGAGAAGGAAGTCAAAATAAAAAGTCACATGTTGATTATACCTTGTAAGTGTAACCATTTTCACCATGGGGAGCAAAGAGGAAGATAACACCATGGTTGGTGATAAATGAACAGTTATTGGCTAGGATTATGTTGTAAGATAATTTTTAAAGCCCAAGTGCCACTCAAGGTAGAGTTACTGAATGAGGTGTGTGATATGAATGTAAGAGGGGTAGAAGAAAGTGAAGATTAAGAAAATAAGAAGGATAGATAGTGATTAACATTAACTTGAAGAGGTTAGGATTGTAGTGTTCAGGAAACTTCCACATAGAAGTCAAAGTAGCATTTCGCGGGGAAAAAATATATTATTGGTGGGTGATTGTCACACATGCTATCAATTCTAATTTATATCTTTTTAACATATATTAAAAATAAAGAAAGCACATGTGATTGATGTTTATCAAGGTGAACAGTGCTTAATATAAGCAAATCACAAGAATCAGAAGAAGTTTTTAAACAGCACAAAGCTCAGAAAGAAATAAGAAGCCTACAAAAAACAGTTTCTTTTTTCTTTCTGATTTCATGTTTGTTCAAAGATGGTGATTGAATGGTGATTTCAATTTAGAAAACCAGGAGAGAGGAGTCTAAAGATATGAGGGCTACAGCTCTGGTGGAAAATCTGTTAAACCTTGATATATGGACAAGCCAAAAATAACTCATTTAAAATTCAAACAGCATTGATGAAAAGATAAGGTGTCCTTTTTTTGTATGATAACACCTGCTCTTGTATTGCAAAAATAACATTTGTAAAGTTGAATCAGTTGAAGATGGAAACTTCATAACATTGAGTCTGTTCCAATTCTATCAGTCCTGAAAAATGATAATTCAAAAGAGACTATGAATTACCATTTTTCTTTCAAGCATCTTGTAGCATACCTACAAACAATAATGGGCATGTTCCCATTCACATAAATACAGTAGTAAACACTGTATGTTGGTCTGCAGTTGGAGATTCATTGTGGAATTCACTCAATTCACTTCTAGCAGTTGACTACTACATCTACGTGCTGCTGGCAAATCTTATATGTTTTGTTCTTCTCCTAAGTATTATTGTTCATTATGGACCTTCATGTGATTATTCTATTCAGTAACCTTCCCTAGATTACAACACATCTGTACCATCTTCTTACAGGCAAGAACTTGTTTTTCTTTTTTACTAATGTTCACCCAATAGAAGGCTCAAGTGCCACTCAAGGTAGAGTGTTACTGTGTGGAGTTGTATTAATATAAAAAGGTGCAAGATAACAGGAAATATGGACAGCTAATTCTAGATTTGAAGAGGTCAAGATTTAATTAGTGAATAAAATTTCAGAGTTCAGGCAGAGATATTAGAAGTATAAAGTTGAAGTAGACTTTAGAAGGGACTGGAAACACAATCCGAAACAGTTAACAAAAGATGAACCTCTACTCCTGTTCAAAAAACAGTAGTAGTGCGTCTAATCAGTATCAAACTGAATATGCTTCCTTTAAAGTCACCAAATGAAGAATTCTTGAAGAAAGGAACACATAACTTATTGCCAAAGAAAGAATAAAGGTTAAGGAGTAAATATAATTTGATTGGATAAATAATTATTTTACTATGAATTTTATGTGCAGGAATGAAACAGATAAATTGGTTATATATATATATATATATATATATATATATATATATATATATATATATATATATACACTACAGGCAAAAAGTTTTTGTGTTTTTTTAAAGTAAAAGATACAATTTCAGTAACTATAGTGTATTGGCTTTTATTTTTCAGTTTTTCCTAGGCTCCTCTTACTACAAAAAAATTCAAATTTAGATTTGTCTGTTCACAATACATTTTGATAAATTATAAATATTATTTTATGAGAAACATTATAATTTGTCTTCACCATAGACTTTTTGAAATTACCAAGAGGGCTGGAGATTTGATTCAATTCAAGGGAATCATGAAAAAAAAAGAACAATGTCATTCAATTCTGCAAAGACACACTATACCATCTGGTTTACATATAATTGGGGGAAAAATTACCTTTCAGCAAGACAACAATCCAAAACACTCTTATTACCTCAAGTGAAAAAAAAAAGAAGTAACAAAATTTCAGAAATTACGACTTGACTACCTCAATCTCCTGACCTCTCTTCCACTGAATTAGTATGGGATGAATTGGATAAGAGTTTTGAAGAGAATAGCCAAAGAGTGAGAGTGAGCTTTTTCAGTGTTTGAAGAATGGTGGAAAGAATGCCAAGAATTTTTAAATCCATAATTAAAGCAGGTGGTGGTTTTATTGATGAAAATAAGATATGATGTTGTTGTATGAATTTATTTTTATATTTAAGTGCTTATTTTTTGTTAAAAAAAATAAACTGTAGTTATTGAAGTTCTAGCTTTTACATGAAAAAAAAAAAATACAAAAATATATTTTAAGGTGTTTTTAAAAAAATACAGGGTGGCTCCAAACTTTTTGCTTGTAGTGTTTTGTGTGTGTGTGTGACAACTTGCAACAATTGCTTCTTTGGCTATGGCTTTGAGAATGGTAATGTTGTTTCATGAAAGCATTGATTTCTCTTGTGACTTTAAGCAATCCATTTCTTAATGCCATTCAGTTTTAACACTAAATGATGGCAACTAGAAGTATATTAGCAATTTCTATCTGAATTTCTGTGATGAGGAGTTATCTACAATGAGACTAATGACCTCATCTTTGTTGTTGTTATCACAATGTTTCAGCTGTTATTCTTCTGCATTTCTTTTGGTGTCTGTCAATCAAGGGAAACCATCAAGAGATTTCCAACTGAACTATTTATTTAAACTATGGGGTAAATTGTTCTCATTCTGCTCTCCATGTCTAGGGATATCTTGTTCTTATTTAGTACTGCTCAGTTATTGCTTACCCTGTTTCAACTGAGTTTGAAGTTGTACAATTTGACCCAGGTATTGAACTCACAATTACTATGTCATAAAATTCACAAGCCAATGATTTTAATCCACAAAGATATTCCCACAGAACAATTAACAATAAATCAAATAGACAAAATAAAGAGTTCAGTTTGACATTCTCTGATAGTTACTCTGATCTGGATGAAGAACAAAATCTACAATGGTTGAAATGTTGTGATAATAACAAAAAAAAAAGATGAGGACATTAGTTCAAATGTAAATATATGAGAAATATTAGCTTTGTGGATGTCAAAGTACTTTTATATGACATCAGCAAAGGTGGATATAAGTCAATGAAAACAAAATGTTGTCATTTAAAAATACATGCAAAATAGAAGAGACTAAATATAAGAGTTGAAGCAGGAATTATGGAGGTTCTTTTGCTGTTCAAATAAAATAAGATGTATTACAATCAAATCTTTCAAAAATTATTTTGCAACCGCTGAAACTAAAAGAAAACAGAAAGGATTATTTGAGATTATTAGACTTTTATTAATTTTTGACTAGTATTTCTTGCATCTTAGTTGGTTCCCTGTGTTGTGCTAGACAATTTTTCTTGCCAGAATCTATTTTATAAGTTTGCCATTTGTCCATGCTTTGAATATTGCTGACACATCTGGTCTGGTGCTCCTGCTGTATATTCAGAGATTCTAGATAAAATCTAAAGAAGAATCTGCAATGTCATTGGTCCTGGCCTGGCATCTCACCTTCAGTCACTTTCCCACCACTGTAGTCTCCCTCTGCATTTTCCATAAATAGTCATGGTTATTGTTTAGATGAACTTTCCTCTATGGTATAACTTTATGAATTTCAGTGCAGTACTAGATTGGCATCAAGGTCTGATCACTTAAATGTTGAAATGGTGAGATGTACATAAGTTCTATGTTAACAGTTTGTTCTCTTACACTTTTCACTTGTGGAACACTCTTCCGGCTTCTTTCTTCCTGGACAACTTTGATCTTCAAATTTAAATGCAATGTCCATTGTTATGTTCTGTCTTCTTAATTCTTGTTCTTTTATTGTTATCTCTCCTTAATAGTGTTTTTTTTTTTCATATTTTCTAAAACTTAGTAAACCTTTGCATCTTTGTGACTTTATTACCTTGCTTGGGGTGAAATGATTAAAAAAAAGAAAAGAAGAAGAAAAAAAATTGTTATTCTTCATTTTTTTATCAAGCACCATGAATTGGAAATAAAGGAGAGACTTTCAATGAAATCCAAACTCACAATCTGCTTCTTTCCTTTATTCATATCTTGTCAAAGGTTAATTCTTCATTTTCATTCTGTACTAATTGCTAACATTTAGAGAATGCAACAAAGATGAAAAAAAATAAGAGTCAAAAATTAGTAATAACTGACAATATTTCTTCTAATAAATTAAAATAATAATATTACTACTAATATTGTTATTTTTTTTTTTTTTATAAAATGCAATACTACATTCTGTCCTCACTGTAAGTACATTTACAATGTAAGACAAAGTAGAAAGAAAAGTCAATTCTTCAGTTTAGGTATTTGTGGATTTTACATGGACACAATGTAAAAATATATATTGCAATGACAAAATGACATTTATGGATTTACAATTGTTTAAACCATTTTATCATAATATGAAATGGGAAAATGACAGTGTCTGATTTAAAATCAAAATGGAATGAAAATGAATCACTTACCAGGAAGAAGTGCTGCTTCTACTTGATGGACTCCGTACCTGCGCTTCGGACACACTTGCTATACGGGTTGCAGCTGCATGGAGAGGTTCTGGCTTTTCTGATGTTTTGCTCTGCATTTTTTGTCGGCATAAGTCCTGAAATAAGTGCCACCCGCAACCATTAGAGCAATAAAACAGTGTTTTACATATTATCAAGAGAGAAAAGGAAAACAGTCTTGAAAAATTACCATTGTTTACTTTTACATTGTTTCATGATGCTTTTTATTTTAAATGCCCAAGAAAAAATGGAAACAGAATATAAAGAAAAATAGATAAAACTAAGAAATCGAAAGAATGTTATTAAATTCTGGAGGAGACATTTTTACCAGAATACAACCTTGGAATTTTTAAGGATTACACAATGTTACCAAAAAATTGTATAATGTTTATTAACTAGCAAACTATCTGTCAAAAATGCCAGAATTTTTTTTAGATCGATTGGCTTTCCTGCCTAGGATCAGAATACTTGTGCACTCTACTGAGAATCAAAATGTCACTCCTTGGCCCTCTGTCTACAATCATCACATACATATATATATATATATATATATATATATATATATATATATATATTGTATAATAGAACAAATAAGGACGTTATAAGAATGGCGGCTGATGTAAAAAATAAAAAATATATAAACAGAGCCAATATAAAAAGCATAAAAAAAAACAATACTCAAACCTCAATCTTCCCCATGGCACACTAGCCTGTTCAAGCATTTTAGCCTACATAAATCCCATTTTCTGGCTATACCTGCATGACAGTTTTGATCATAACAGATGCCTATTTGTGGCTGCACATAATAAATGTAAATGTGTCATTGAAGGAGCTAAGTTTCTGTTTGCTGAGAGAATGAGGCACCATATTGTATCTAACAAATTTAGCTCTTGTGACTACTGGTGGCTCTGTAACAGAGTATTAAAGAAGAGTAAGTTTTCAATTCCTCCTCTCTTTAATTAATTTGATGTGTTAAGATCTGCCGATAAATTCTCAAATTCTCTTTAAACTCTACTCTTGACTCAGCTGGAGAATCATTGCCTGACTTTCCACTTAGAACTGAGTCTCTTTTGAATGATATGCATATAACCCCTTACACGGTTTCTGCTATAATTTCTAATCTGGATCCCCATAAAGCATGTGGACCTATTGTATCCCTATAATAGTCCTTAAGAAATGTGCTCCTGAACTGGTTCCTATACTCTCTAAACTAAGTGCCTTGCTGCCTCTTGCTTTCCTGTTTATTAGAAATCCTCATCTGTTGTTCCAGTCTTTAAGAACTCAAGTGAACTTTCTGACCCTAACCAACTATCAGCCTATTAGCCTTCTAATATTGCTGGTATTTTTTTTTTTCAAAAATTTATTGCTGGAAATAATATATTGCTGGTAATAATTTTTTACAAAGTATTTCTGGTATTAAAACCTATTTTTACACTTTCATAGTGTTTTGACCTCAGTTTGGGGGGGTTAACTATTTACCCATAGCTGGGACCCTAACAGGTGCTACCACCCGGGTCATGGTGAACCTGGGAACACCAGCAATTAAGAGGTGGTTCCACACTCCTCAAAACTTCCTGATCAGAGACCTTGCTGTTGGACGTAGTTTATCATCTTACCCAGGATGCAGATGTAGTTTATCATCATACTCAGGACATGAAAAGGTATGAATCCAATTCACCACGCGTTGTGTCTCAGCATCAATCACCTTGACTATAATCTTATCACTGTCATACCTGAAGAAGGTGTCACTTTATAAACAGGTTAGTGCTATGCATTACAACCTGTTATTTGATATTTGAAGAGTGGGATTGGTCCTATGAAGTTGCTTTTGTTTAGTGGCATATCAACATCTATGTGGGTTATTGAATGGCTAAATCTTAATATTTTGTATGCAATTTTATTTTATTTTTGAGATAATAATAGTTTTAGTGATATAAGTCTTAGTAATTGCCCCATGGCTGGGGAAAGATGAGATGGATTCATACTTTTCCCAAAGGTATTTGCATGTAAGTAAATATAACAAATCCAAAAGAAATTGGAACTTGGTTCGCCAATGATTAATTCCAAGCCATTATTCATTACACCATCTGCACATCCAAGCTTATAGCATCTGGTATTCCCAGGCAGGCAATTATCTAGGTACTGAGCGAGGTTGACATTGCAGGGTGATTGTATGGGAACAGACATTTCAATGTGATGTGGCTGTAAGCCCTCCTATGAAGTAATTTCACCAATTCACTGTAATACCATGATTCCCTAAGAATTTCCTCTGATCAAGGAACAAACCTAATTGTTTTAGCATACCTACGGATGATAATGGGTATGTCCCCATTCGCATAAATACAGTAGTAAATACTGTATGTTGGTCTGCAGTTGGAGATTTGTCTCCAGCTGTGCTGGTCAAACTCTCTGCCTCTGGGCAGAGAGGATACCCAGACGAGGCTATGTCAAAGGGCAGAGTCTCATCTCAGGAAACAGCTACCTGACCCCATCTTATACAGGATCTATGGGGAATTTTCACCCAAGCATACAGGCTTGGATACTCCATGTTAAATTCAGCCTTGTGCCACATCTGACCGCATAGGGTGGTTGGTACATATACTGCAGTTGGAGATTCATTGTGGAATTCACTTGACTCATTTCTAACAGTTGACTAGTTCTTTTATGGGCTGCTGGCGAATCTTATATGTGTTGTTCTTGTCCTAAGTATTATCGTGACACTGGCAAAACTTATATATGTTGTTTTTGTCCTAAGTATCATCATTCATTACCAGCCTTTGTTTGATTATCCTATTCAGTAACCTTCCCTAGGTTACAACACTAATTTAAATGTTAAAAATGATTAAATCAAATAAAATCTGCTAAAAACTGTTTTACAGAGATGCAATATCAAAGTCTTTTTTTTTTAATTTATTTTTTATGTTAATATGCTTTCTTGGTTAAAAATGTGTTTTGAATAAGCTGTTGTCACAATATGAGTGATGGTAAAACAGACAGCTCACAATCTTCAAGCATTTCTGTCATGCATATATATTGGTCACAGCAAGCTTTCATACCTAGAGATATTAAGTATAGGAAAAAAATGCAAAGAAAAGATAGTCTTTTTCATTTTTTGTAGGTTCGGAAGTAACCAGAGATAGATGAGAAAGAGATTATTGCTTTGCCTTAAAGCAAGGGACATTCATATCTATGTCTTCTTTTCACTTGACAAGGACAGTGGGAGGGGGAAAAAAAGATGAAAAGTGTACTAATTGAATTGTTTCTAAGTTAACCAAGTGCTTACTGAAGGTCATGTGACCTTCAACTAAAGACATGTTATTAACTGGTATGATTCAGTGTTCAATATAAATAGTTAAAAAAATTTTGATAAAAAAAGCAGAAAATGATTTTAAAAATGTAAATATTTCATAACTTGTCATATTTCATTTACTTATGAGTAAAACCATGAACTTTTATTAATGACCTCCTTTGATTTAATACTGCTGTAAAAAAGTTACTTTTAACAGTCTCATTAATGTTCTTAAATAGCCTTAGATTGAGAATTTCATATGGATGTTATGCATGGCACTAAACCTGTTCAGAAATATCTAAACTGTCAGCTATATAAAACTGATTTCTAAGATCAATGGTGAAAAAAAGGCTATGAGCGAAGATTATCCTTCTTTAAACATTGTGGACAGGTGCAACAGAATCCTCAAAAAAGAACTGTACCAAATAACAAAAATCACATCACTTGAGTACTTCCAACAGCAGCAACAACTAAAAGGGATAGGACATGTAAATCAAAGAGAAAATGATGACATAATGAAGATCTTAATATCCTGCACTACTTCAAATAAAAGGTTACAAAGAAAATCCCCCATTAATATGGGAAAGAGTGACAGCAGTTTAAGGACTTGAAAAACCTTATTATCATTACCATGAAAAAAAAAAAAAAAAAAAATGACAAAAATTTTTACTTGTGTTGTTAGGTTAACTTTCCTTCCTATTCCCCATGATTGGCTGATCATGTGACCTTCAGCAATCAATCAACAGAGCCCTGTCTTGACTCAGATCACAATCTTCTGGGAGACACTTCTAAGATAACATATATCTCAGGACTTGTGAGTAGAGACAACTTTTTATAAAATCTATTATTTATCCCTTTCAAAGTCAAAGAGAAAAGGCATCTAACATATATACTATACTTCATCAACATCCTTTCTTTCTAGAAAATAAAAAAGACTTCATTTATGTTATTACAATTTTCTTTAACTGTCTTTATTTTTTATTTGATAATTATTTGCATAATTGTTGATCCTAATTCATAGTAGGAATCATTTCAAAAACATTCCACCCCAAATTTATAAACAAAACACACAGATGCATGCTGGGATATCTTCCTAGCCAATAATGTAGGCCATTTCTCATTCTCATTAGACTTAGTTCTCTTCTTTCTTGTCTTGAAGTCAGAATGCTGCACTCACTTGTCTGTATCCCCTTTTGTGTGTGAACAATATTTTTATTTTATGAACATTTTGCCTTATTACTATTGCTTTGCCCTACATATATTGTTTGCTCGCTTAATATCATTTTTGCCCTGTTCTTTTTCTTTTCTTTCTCTTGTTGTTATTTATTGCAAACTTTGTCAATTCTGTTGGGTGCTTCTGCTAATTACATTTAACCATGGCTTTTTACTCAACAGTAATTAGCTGCTTTATATAGAAAGATACTATCTAGGTTACCCAACATATATTTTATAACCTCACAATCTTGAACAGATGTTATATTACCAAGTAATTATGAGTTATGGTGCCTACAATATATTGCTCTATGAAAAAGAAGTTTCTTTCATAGTTATTATGTTAATGAATAAGGTCTTGAATTGCTATATATGAACTTCATAGATTCATTATTGTTAACTTTTGCATTATTTCAAGGATCTAATAAAGCAAAACCTTTTCATTAATCATATATTAGTTGATTACCTAGTTTACCTGTAAATTGATACTAATTTAAGTGGGAAAACACTGACTTGTGTAATATTATAAAATCTGATATAGTTACTATGTAAATCACATAAACCTGAATAACTTGAAGTTGCACTGAACAATTTTTGTCCAATTTTAAATGATTAATTTAGATGTCAAAACAAAGCTAGAATTAAATTTTTAGGAAGTTTTAAAATGTTTTATTAAAGTTATTAAATTTACTATATACCAAGTTGAGTAAAAGTTTTTTTGAATTTTCACCAATTATTTTTGGCAAATTTTATTTCAATGTTATATCATTAATTTGACACAACTTGTTGTCTAATTGTCACTGAATTGTTTATCCTGTATATATTAACATTAATTGCTTATTCTTTATATTAACACTAATTGTTTATTCTTTATTTTTTAACTTTGATAAGGAGTGAAAATTGTAATTAGAGCCTTTTTATGCTATCTGTGGAAAAATGGGCTGAGTGCAATGGCAGCGGTAAAATAAATTAAAGATGTGGAAGACCCAGGAACTGTCAACGAATGTTCAGACATTTCAAGGAAGGTGACACCAACCTCAAAAACAAACCAAGGTCAGGGAGACCTGTTGTGGAAGATGAGGCCTTGCTTGAAATGGTTGAACAACAGCCAAGCACAAGCACTCGTACATTGTCAGCAGAAATTGGTCCTTCACAAAGCACCATTTAATTGACACCTTCATAAGCTTGGCTTTGTGAACAGATGCTGTTGAGAAGTTCTTCATGAACTGACCAATGATCTATAATGTGTGAACATTTACAAACAAATGCTGGGAAATCCTCAAGATGCCCATTTTGGGTGTCAAATTATAACTGGGGATGAAAAATGGATCAATTTTCGTAATCCTAATAAGAGAAATCAGTGGCTTTGTTCTGGCAGGAAATGAGCCATGGCTTGGAAAAGGTGGTAATCATCATATTACCACCTTTTTCAGGCCATGGCTCATTTCCTGCATGAACGGAGATTCAATAATGTGAAGAGGTTGAAAAGAGGTGCAGGGAGTTTTTGTCTCGAAAACAGACAAATGGTATAAGTGTGGAATTGAGCTTCTGTCAATGACAGAAACAGATAACAGAATCGGATGGGAGATATTTTGATGAATAAACACTTTTTGTATGTAATTTGTTTGAACTATTAATTAAAGCTTGAAATCTGAAAAAAAACCCAAAAAAACTTTTAGCTTTACTTTGTAATCCTGCATTTTTTATTGAATTACTTGGAAATAGAGAGGGAAAAGAGATGGACATTGCCAAATAACCCCCATTGCCCACCCCACAATGCAATACATTGTACTCTGATAATCTATTAAGGATGACTTTATTTGATACATAAATTTAATAGAGAAGTCACTATTTTAATATAGAATATTTTTATATTGTCTTCTATCTCTGGAAAAGATATTATTAATTACTTTGTTATCTATTCAAGTAGTATAACACTTACTGGCATAGAGAATGAAAATGGCATTCCAAGTTCAAATTCTGACTGATTCTGTTTTGTTCACTTTGTGCTAATGAACTTTTTTCACCTATAGGTTAAATAGCAGAGTTAACTAGGCTCTCTTGCCTTGGGTAGCAGTCAATCTAGAAGAAGAAAAACAATTCAAAAGTAATCTAAAGAGGGATGAGCTCTGTCAGGCTATCTTGCCCTAGATGCATTCTCATATGACCCCCCCCAATAAATAAATAATTACAGGTGGATTTGTTTTTTCATGACTTACCAACCATTTGTGAGTTATTTAAATCTGATCATATTTTGAATTGTAAAAACAATATTTTTTTTTGCTGAGTTGAACATTGCATTAGCAATGTTTTGAGAATAAAAATAATGTTTCCAGATACAAGTCCTACTTTTTAATCTATAGCTGGAGGAAGAGACAGATTCATATTTTTCCCAATGTATTTGTGAGTAAGTGAATGTAATGATCATGACTAGAATTTGAACTTGGTTCTCCAATTTCTTATTCCAAACCACTATCCATTAAAGCACTTGCACATCCATGAATTACAGAACTTGTGATTGTATTAATAAATTGCTAAGAACCACCATTGAATTTTTTTTTGCTTCAATTTGTGACTGCTACATAAGTGATAAAGCATACAGGTTTATTAAGCTGAAACTATTATTACTATTAGTATTAATAAATTATGTGTTTATTTGTCATCAGATGTTTGAATAGACGTCCTATTAGTAACAAATGGGATGAAAAAATACAATCTCATATTAGTATTTGATACTTAATTCTATTTATCTATTTTTCTAAATAACATTTTTTAAAAATTTAACTATATATGAAAAATATTATAACCTAAGGATTTTGAATGAGTAATTCCTGAGAACCTTGGCAAAGATCATCTTTTTTCGAACATTGTGAATTGGCACTACAGAATGCCAAAGAACTGTACCAAATAACACATCACTTGAGGACTACCAAGAGCGGTAACAAATAAAATTAATTTTTACATGTAACACTAAAAGAAAATAATGACATAATCACTATTAACATTCCACACCACTTCAAATAGAAGCTTAGGAAGGAAACACCCATCAATACTGGAAAGAGCAATAACAGCTACTGAACTTAAGAAATCCATTTTCCTGAGAAAGGTTTTATAAATTTCACCCGAAAGCAGTACTGGCTGCCAAATGTTTCCTTGTAGGAAAATGGCTAACATTACCATTACCATATAAGACTAATTTTTTCAACAGTCATAACAAAATACTTTTAAACTCTTTTTTAAAAGTTAGTATATCCTGTAGTGACTAGCATCTTAACTGACAATCATTATAACAGAAGTTTGTAAAAGACTTCCACTACAAAGGCTGGTACAACTAATAACTCAGCAATAATTACATTTATCCCATTATAAAATTACTCCATAGCTTAAACAATGTATGTTTTTAAAAATATTCATAACTATTGCAAATAAATCATATATAGAAATGAAATTTCTAAAGAAAATGAAAAAAAAATTAGATTAGAAGCCCTTCTTTTAGGTGCTGCATGCCTTCAGGATATGAGTGATTATGGCCCTCCACAATTTCCTGTCCTTTGTAGCTCTTATTAAAAGATTTTTTCCTATCTCTCCTAATTCTTGTTCTGCCAACCATTTGTACAAGCTTGTTATGTATGCTATGCACTCCTTTCCTCTGTCCCTCTTGCCTTCAATAGATCCTGTAAGTGTTAAATTTTCCAAGCCCTCTTTCCTCATTATATGCTCTAGAAATTTCAACTGTTTCTTCCTGATGTTAAGTATAAGTGTCCTTTTTGTTTTCATTTTCTCTAAGACTTCATTATTAATTCACATGTTCAGTCTATGGTATTCTCAGCATCCTTCTGGAGAAGCACATATCTGTTATCTCAAGTCTTTTTTTCATCTCTGGGAAGATTGTCCAGCATTCACTGTGATATAGAAGGACTGATATTACATAACAGCTCAGTACTCTTTTCTTTGTTTTTAACAAAATCTTCCAGTTTCTTAATACTTTGCTTAGCTTTTGGAAGGCATCTTTTGCTATCCCAATGCACTTTCGGATTTCAGTATTGGATTTTCTGTCCAGTTAAAACACTTCTAAAATATTTAAATTTTTGTACTAGTTTAATTTTTGGTATTGGCAATATGTAATTCACATGTTGAGCTGTTCCTTTTGTTGATAACTACACATTCTATCTTCTTACAGTTGTTATTTAGTCTTTTCTTCTGGTTATCCTTTACTGCTTTTTATAGGAGTTCTTGTAGTTTCCTTTTTGCATCTGTTACCAACACTGTCTTATCTGCATATATAATATTAAAATTGTGACTGCCAATACAGAATCTTGGTAGAACTTCTAATTCTCTCAGGATTGCTTCACTGTAAAGGTTAAATAAATCTGGTGAGAAGACATATCCTTGTCTTACACCCCTTTCTATTTTTGTATATTTACTGAATCCATTTTCATTGCAGGTAGTTGGCTTCAAGTATAAGTTCTATACTATTTTAATATCTTTCCCAAATAAATCAAGCTTACCTTGCAGTTCAAACAGTTAATACTTAAGATCAGAGATAATTGAAATTTCTGGCACACATTATGAGGAAAATGTTCTCAGCATATTTGACACTAATTTGACATACTGAAGGCAGGAGGAGCAAGGGAAAAAAACAAGCAACTTACCAAATGTCAAATGTTACTTAGAGTAACAAGAGAACAGAAAGTTATGGAGAGCCATGATCTCTTATGTCCTGAGGGGACATAAAAGAAGAAGATATAAATATGATTTTGTCTTACTTGGTAATCTTTAGATGCTTCTGCAGTGTCTGGATTGCCCAACTGACCCATCTTCTGCCTTGAAAAATGTTGCCGCTTAAACATATAGAATATAACTACTGCCAACAGAGCAGTTGCAATTGAACCGCAAAGGGCAAAGGTCAATGTATAATATTTTGGTGTTTTTCCTGCTGTTTCCTCAACCTTCACCTGAAAGATTAAAAAGAACAAAAAGAAATTATGAAAATTATTAAGTTATTGTAAATAATTCTTAGATGAGGTAATTACCTCTCTTTTTTTTTTCTTTTTACTTTATTGAGAGATGTAGATCTCCCAACAAAGACTGAGAATAGGGAGAATATATCAGAAACAAGAAAGTTTTAAGGAGAATATGAGCTACAAAGTAACTGCTGCCAACAAATAGAAAGATGTTTTGGGGACAGAGAATGAGGAAAGAAGATTTGGAGAATTTAACACTCACAGAGTACATTGAAAGCAAAAGAATCAATGAAAATGAACTTGACATGTTTGGGTAAATGTATGGGAGAACAAGTGGCACAAAGACAGAGGGGTCATAAAAGAACAGGAATTATTTTGAGCCACAAAATATATGAGGTTGAAGAGAGCCAGAGAGAGAGATCTCATGCTGTAAATGCAACATATTTGAACATATACTGTCATTTTGTCTTTCAGTTAATAAAAATCAAATATTAGAAAAGATCAATTTCTGAACAAAATATGAAAATAAACATTGAAATTACAAAGAAAAAGTGTTTGAATCCAGAAAAATGAGTCATTGCTGAATTTTCTAACAGGTTAGTCTGACAAATAACTTGCCATCTTGTTTATGTTTGTCTCTTATTGCATCATTTAAATTACAGATACTATATTTTCCATTGTTTGCATATTAGTTTTTGAAAATATCCAAGATCTTTAAAGATTTCAGAAACAATATACATATCATGTTAAAATGGACCCTTATTTTGTGTCCACCATTTTAGATAAACTGTATCTTTATTTTAATTGTAAAGATTTTAGATAGTAGTTTAATTTATAATGTGTGTGACAAGCCATGTACTGGGTGATCCTGTATGTCAACCAATGAAATGTTCATTGATAACAAAAATGCATAGTGTAGCTGAAAACTTGATCAGTCTAATGGTGTTGTTTTGCTCTCTGTGTTTGTTGTAGTTTTCATAGAAATAAATTGGAGGCATTATTTTTGGAGCATCGTTTCTCGAACTTAAACAAAGAAAACCAACAATAGTCGGTTTTAAAATATAAACAATGATTTGCTCAGCAATCATGATAAGGAAATAGAATAAAAGAAAAACTGAGAGAAAAAAGTACAGAAAAGGAGAAAAGGAAAGAATGGAAGGAGAAAAGAAAGAAAAGAATGGAAGAAGAAAAGAAAGAAAAGCAAAGAAGAAAAGAAAGGAAAGCAAAGTAGAAAAGAAATGAAAGCAAAGTAGAAAAGAAAAAAGAAGAGAAAAGGAAAGTGATGGAGAAAAGAAAAGGAAAGCAAAGAAGAAAAGAAAGGAAAGCAAAGTAGAGAAAAGGAAAGCAATGTAGAAAAAGCAAAAGGAAATGAAAGAGAAGAGAAAAAGAAAGCAAAAGAGAAAGAGAAAGACAAAGAAAAAAAGGCAGAAAAAAGAAAGAAAGAATGGGAGTGGAAAACAAAGAAGAAAAGAAGGGAATGAACAGAATTGTCTGTCAATGGAGATGTGTCAACATGAAAACAATGAGAAAGAAAAAGTATAAGAATAAGATATGAAAAGAAACTAGTGGGAGTGGGGCTGCCAGATAAATTAGGAGAATAATAATATTGCTAATCATTTAAATATACTCATTAAGAACAGATGTCGCTTTCTTGTTTCAGAAAGGCATAAACATTTAACTTCAACACAAAGCAAAAGAAACAAGGTGATTACAAATATTCTTGAGCAAGATTATTAACAAAAGAGGAAGTGGAATAAACCTGTATAGATAATATAAAAGTTAGTTTCTGCTTTGACTGACAGTAAGTACATAGAACTGATAAAATCTAATGCACTGCTGTCAGATTATTAGCTATGTATGGACGGCAGTGGGAGTGGTAGTGGTGGAATAGATAATAAGAGCAAGGGAGATAACAAACTGAGCCAACCCCGATATAATCTGATCTGCTTCAAATAGTTATGTCAAACAGAGAGAACGTTAGTAATCTTTTTTTAATTGACATAATCCAACTGACTATCTGTGCTCCTCATCATCGTTAAAATCATCAAAGGAATTCATTGTCGTTCTATTTTGTTTTTTGAATAAATCTTCTACTTGTAGTTTTGTCTTCCCATTGAGAATTACTTCCATTCTGCTAAGTTCAAATTTATAATGAGGTTTGGTAAAAGTGGAACATTGTAAAACAAAACAAATAAACTATATATATTTAATAGGCACACAGCACAATTTTATCATTGTTCAAATAAAACTGTAATGAGAATTATTTAAAATATAAAATAAAAATAATCTGAAAACTCTTCTATATAGATATTAACTAAGCTATGGTTAGTACAGCATAAGAATACAACAGAAAGGTAATTTGTGACAATCAACCCCCATACTGAATGTAATCTTCCAACACAATATTCTTTTTCTAACTGATCTATTATAGGTGTACACAACAATGTGTTAACCAGTCATAATCAAACTTTCTAATCCTCACTATGCTCAATGCTACTTTAAACAGATTATGGCTCTCCACCATTTCCTATCTTTCATAACACTTAGCAACGTTTGTCACTCCCAAACTCAGTTCTATCACTGTTTCTCTCTGTCCCTCTCTCTTATGAGTGTCAAATTCTCCAAGCATTTTTTCCTTATGATACATCACAAAAATTTCAACTGTCTCTTTCTGGTTCTATGTATAAGTGTCCTTTTTGTTTCTATTTTCCCTCAAACTTCCTCATTGCCTACATGTTCTGTCCATAGTATTCTCAGACTTCTTGTCTCAAGTTTCCTCTTCATCTCTGATAAAATTGTCCAGCATTCACTTCCATATAGTAGGATTGACAGCAGTTAAGCACTCTTTTCTTAGTTTCTAATGAAATTTATTTTCCTGTTTCTTAAAACTTTATTTAGCTTTTGGGAGTCATCTTTTGTTATTCCAGTATGTCTTTGGATTTATCTGTTACATATTCAATCATCTGTTATAACACTTACCAGTGTAAATCAAAACTAGCAAACCACAGGCTGCAGACATTCTCCTAGGGGACAAAATTTATAACTCATATATATTAATAATTTCCTTATAGATTTTGAAATAAACTAGATGAATTGATTAATATGTACAGCAATAAATAAATGTCCTGTGACTGTCAAAATCTCCATATGCGTCTGGGAAATTTCAGTTGTTGCTTTCTGATTCTAAGTGTCATTTTTGTTTCCATTTTCCTTAAAGCTTCCTTGTTGCTCACATCTTCTGGCCACATTATTCTCAGCATCCTTCTGTAGAATGACACCTCTTGCTAAAAATACTATGATGATTTTTCTTTTAAAGTCTACATGTAAAATTATCAAATACAGATAAAAATCTCACCATATTTCCTATCAACTATATCACATTGAAACACCGCTTCCCATATGATCACCGAAACTAAGCAATGTCAAGCCTGGTCAGTACCTACATAGGTGACCACTTTGGAATACCAGGTGCTGTAAGCTTGACTATGTGGGTGATATAATAGATAATGGCTTGGAATTGTTAATCAGAGTCAAGTTCTAATTCCAGTTGGGTTTGTTATCTTCACTTATGTACAAATACCCTTGGGAAAGTTATGAATCCACTTCTCCTCCCAGCTATGGGTTAATTAATAAAACTTGTATCAATAAATCATTACTATCTCCAAAAAAAGAAAAAATTTTTTTTTAACAATCTAAAAATATTTTCTGGCTTTAAATAACCTGCAAAGCTGATAAACTGTAGAAAACAAATAAATCAATCCAGTTAGTTTAATCCAATACTAAGATGCTACAGAACCAAAACAAAAACTTGAGCCATGTTCTTAAATAGCCTTGTCTGATTCAGAATTTCATTTGGATGTAATGTATGGTGTCAAACTCGTTTAGAAATATCTAAACTGTCAGAAGATTTTATATATATATATATATATATATATATATATATAGAGAGAGAGAGAGAGAAGAAGAAAATGCTTAAAAGACTAAGGATATAAGAAGATTATGAAAAAGAGAAATAAACAAGATATTCGATACATACACTCACGTGCATATGCAAGCAGACACACACACAAAGAAAAAAATCAAACTCACACCAATAACTACCACATAAATTAATTTTTAACTTAATATAAAAATAACAAAAGTGAGAAAATCTGCAGTCAATCACTGAAATCTCCTGATGAGTGGACCAAATGATTGCAAAATGGTTTGCATACAAAATTCCAGAATAGAGGTGCTGAATATAACATTGATCAGCTAAGTGACAAATTTTATTTGTATAAATTATATATATATATATATATATATATATATATGTGTGTAAACTGTCAGCTTTATACAAATGTTTTCTCAGATCAATAATTAAAAATGAATTTGAGCAAATGAAGCCAGTAGATCTTAGCTAAGACTACTCTTTTTCAGGCCTTGTGGGCTGGTGTTACAGAATCATAAAGAAAGAATGGTACCAAATAACAGAAATGACATCACTTAAGCAACAACTAAAATGGATATTGTATAATAAGAAAATAATGATACAATCACGCTGTCAATGTTCCACACTATTTCAAACAAATGCTTAGGAAGGAAATCACCATCAGTACTAGAAAAGTTGATAACAGCTAATTGGCTTTTAAAATAATCCTATTCCCTGAAAAACTGTTTAAGAGAAAGATTTGATAAATGTAAAGAGAAGTACAGGCTTTTCAGTCAATGAATGCTGAATGTTTCCTTATAAGGAAATGGCTAATATTACCATTCGAGAACATTTTTTTTTTTTTTACATGAATATATTGACTATCCCTCAACCTACTTGCTAAGTGTCTGTTTCATTTGCACTTTGTGCTGGGAATTTTCTAAACTGACCTCTTTACAGGTCTATGATAACTTAGTCTTAAAGTCTGGGAAAATTTGGAAAATGTAGCAAAGGTATGTACTTCAGCTAGTAATTTTATTAGTCTATCGTTTATGTCCAGCTCACACTGAGACATGTTCTAATGTGAATTTACTGGAAATAACATCTTTAAAAGAATTGATTAGCTAGATCTGTCATATATCATTAATTTTGATAGACTTTTTATATGATAATCATCTCAATAAAGTATTATGCCATAAGGCAGACTTGAATCATGTTGGGGTGGGAGAGTAGAAAATTCTCATGTCTTGGTTTTGAAATTTCCAAAATCTATAAAATATAAATTATAGAATTATTCTCTTATCATCAAAGCATTGGGTACAATCCCCAAAATCTCCAAAGGGGAAAATGTGATCAGATAGGCATTTGCATAAAAATAGTGACTATACAAATAGTATTCTTTAATAGGATAAGGATTCTGGGAATTCTGAATGTTTTTTTGTTTTTTTTAATTGATTCACTCAAAGCAAGGCAGGAAGCCACTAGTACGCAAGGGGTTACAGAAGATTTGGAGCGAGTGCAGAAAGGAGTGATAGAGGAAAGAATGAGGAGAAGGATAGTAGATAGATCAAGGCAACTGGAGATGTCGATTGACATTACATTTGAATAGTTGAAGATTAAAGAATTCATAATTTTTCCTGGCAACAATTTCTGATTTTCCATCTTCATTTCATACCTGAACAAGGGCTAACAGATCAGCAAATGACTCCACCATTTGTTTTTTTATATATATTAGGTTGAGTTATAAATAATTTCTATTTCTGGGAACCAGTTGTAACGGTGCATGTATCATTGTAACAATTACATGGCAGTTAAGAATAAATTTGAGTACACTGACATTGCTTAGTTTTTGCATGCCAGTCGTGATGTATGTAGTGGATTAAAGAAAAATTTAGTTCTCTATAACAATGCAAGGTCGCAAACAGCAAGAACTTGGTTGGTCTGTTCTACCCCACTTGCCATAATCACCTAACCTAGCATTGACCAATTATTACCTTTGTTGTTCACTGCAAAATGCTTTGATGGGGAAAACTTTCTCTAATGAAAACTAGATTAGAAAGTTTATCAAAAAACCTTTACACATCAAAACTTGCAGGGTTTTACTGAAAACATAATTGAAGAGCTGCTCAATAAGTGGCAACAAGTCATTGCAAATAATGATGAATATACAGAATGCAGCAGAAATACCTCCCAGATCTACCTTTCAGAAACACCTCCCACATAATTTAAGGTATAAGATAGATGAAGACATCACTGCCATTAAATGTGGTATTACAGTTAGCTAAAAAGGGTACATGAGTACCCAATTCGAGTGACAGCTAGCAACTGTTTTATTTCAAGTATTTACAAACGTATTGGTTCTGTCTTAGTGAATCAACATCATCTTTATAAATACTGCCTAGACTGTGTGTCATCCAATCAGCATTGTTTTTACAACATAATATACAACATTAATATCTTATCATTATGTGGGAGCTATTTCTACTGCACACTGTATAATTGAATAAAAGTAATTGTAGTTTATATAGAAAGAATAAAATCGATAAATAAAAATGGAAATTATTTATAATGTATCCTTATATATATGTATGTATGTATGTATGTGTGTGTGTGTGTTTTACAAATCCAAATTCTGTTCTGCTGCTAATAAGCAACTTTATTCTATTGGTATTTGTGGTAAGAAGTTTGTAACAAAACATGGAATATAAGGAGGAGAAAAAGAACATCTTTATGAGGACAGAAAATGCATTAAGTATGCCAATCTGTCATTGTTTCTTAGACATTATAACATATAGAAACAATTCTTCAATGGGGAGGGGATGTGATAGCCAAATGCCCTGTCTGCCACAAACAATCTCTTAATGCCTTCACGGTAAAAGGACAGTTTCTGTGTGAATTTTCTTTATTTTTTTTTCCATGGTGCTATTGTTGGCTTGCAACATAGTTAATTGAAGAGTGCCACATGCGCACATGTTTCTTGTCAAGCAAGTAACACATCGAGTCTAACCTCACCTTGACTGTCATTCCCAACCCTGATTCTTTTCTGGAGCCAACCTCAATTATATGAAACCAAAAACTAATGGTCAGCCACATTTTCCCTGCTATGGCATGACAGTTTGGATTTGGTAAATGGAGTGGTAAGTGGAGTGGTTCTTTTGAGGTAATGGTGCTTTCTTATATCTGTGTCAACCTTCTTTTCTTGTTCAATTTTTGCTATGGCAGACATTGGTAATCTGTATAATGGTAAATAGGAAGTTCTTAATTTACCCCAGTTGCTGATCACAAATCTGTGACAAACAAACAAACAAACAACAAATTGAATTTGAATTGTCCGATTTATTATAGATTACCACTCTTTATTCAATTGTCAATTCATATAGACTAATTCAGTACTAATATGTTACTTATTCACGAATCAATATTATTTATTAGTAACATTAAATCTGGTGCACTTTTTCTTTTAACCCAAGAAATTCTTTGCAATAAAAGCATGTAAGATCTTTGCCATTAGCCAATCTTGTTTGCCAGAAGAATTCCCCCAGTATCCATTTGGTGGGATTGTATAAAGCAGTATAAAAGGAAATGGTATAAAACCATCTCACTTTAAGTACAGGATACTGCAGTGGCAAGACATGTCTCATTTCCCCTCTGGGCAGATTTCTTAGCCTCCATAGCAAATACAATGTCACATACAATATACTACTCTATCTCCTATAAAAAGAAATCTCAAGAAAGCACAATATCTCCAAAACAACCTATCATATAGATATATATCACCATCTAAAACAAAAAAATATCCCTCTTCAACAAGAGAGTCAATACCACTACAAATTGGTGACTCTCATAACAAACTGCTAGTCTAATGCGCTAACAATCTTACTTACTTAATTCTCTATTTATTTATATTATTATTTTGAAAACATGTATCTACATTATAAACCATTCCATACTTATATTTTTGTAAATGAAGTAAATAAATGTTGAATTCATTTATTTTTGAGATTGTTAAAATTTCAAAACAGATAACCATTACAGAATCTTTGTCTCAGACAGTTTGAAGTCACCAGCAAGCAAGTAATAAAACTTGACTAGTAGCATTCAATGCTTTCAGTTGCAACATGTGTAGAACAATGAAAATTCCTCAGAGACTAAATAGGATTGATGGAAAACAGGTATTGATAAAAGCAATGTATGAAGAACAAAATGAAGACAAATATTAAAGTATTTGACAAAAGGGACATAACTCCTGTTTCTGTAACCCTACTGTAAGCCTATGAACCAATTCTCACTCTGAAGACATTTTTTTTATATCTTGTAGAAGAAGGAGCATTTTTGTTTTTTAGCTGGTAAATATATCAATATTGTGAAGATTTATTAGAAATGATCAAAAGAAAATTTCTTTTTTTCCTTTTTTATTATTTAGATCTTTAAGTCTTCCATATGACCTCCCCCCCCCCAACCTCCCAATACCATCATGAAATCAATCATTCTTTTTAATCTGTGATACCATTTCAAATTCAAGCTGCATGGTTTGGCTACAAAGATGGCTGCATCTGATTTCAAATTGA